TCTGATAGGGACAATAGGGTGCATAGACATACAAATTATTTACATGGGTAAGATAGAATGTAGAAGAGATTTAGAAGAGAAGGTGTAAAGGTACATTCTGAATGTGTTAAACTTGAGATGCCCCTGAGATTTCAACTTGGAGATATCAAGGATGGAGATGAGGTCAGATTCATAAAATACACTAGAGATGAAATTTGGTATTCCAGTGAGAAAATTTAGGGAAAATGTGCAAATTGAAAAGAGGTCTAGACCATGGCACTGAGAAATTTCAGTATTTCCAGAATTGCTTAATGCCAGCATAATTTTGAGAAGCAAGAAAGTTGAAGATTTTTGAAAGAATGCAATTATAACAGTGAGCCATAAATCCAAGTTGTTTGAGGAGGGATGTGAGGGAAGGGGCAACTGAGAGGCAGTGAGAAACAGAAGAGTTGATATATGGGTGATACCTAAAAGGGTAAAATGTTCCTCAAGTATGTACAATAGGAAAGGAACCAGAGGGGCAGGAGAATGTGGTTGGAGAATGAGGTGTTTGAAATAGTGATTTCAGATGTGATGCCATTTCTAATCAAGTTCTATACAGTTAACAGGACATAAACAAGGCTTAATGGAATAAACTCTAACAGAAATGATTTACTTCAGTTACTGGTAAATTTCTTTTTTCTTATCTTGTCTTTTCTTTTCCTTCCCTTCCTTTTCATTTCATTTTTCTTTTCTTTTCTTTTCTTTTTTCTTTTCTTTTCTTTTCTTTTTAGGAGCACTTTGAAAGACTAACTTCTGTTTCTAATGAAGTTTATAGAACCTCTTTTTGAAGATATTGTTTGATTTTTAAAAGCAAAGTAACTACCCCAAACTTTCCTTATTTTAGCTATAATTTCTCTTAAGGAAAAAAGAATTGTTTATAACTGACTTCTAAGATCATGGCAGTGGTATAGAATCCTTTGACTTCTAAGTAATGGGCTTTTTTAAAAAAGGAATTTTGTATTTTATTTTTACCTCTGGAATTGATTAATTGTATTCACATACGCAAATGAGCAAAATGTGTAAGACCTAAAGATATCATTGGATTAAATTATATGAATTTTTAAGAATCCATTATTAGTATGTTACAGGATCTAGCTAAGAGTTACTGTTAACTCTATGAAGTCATAGGCATAAAAAATGTTATTTTTATAATGTGAAATTAATGTTATTGAACAAAACATCTTATCAAATAATTTTGTAAGTCTGCTATAATCTGAGAGAAAATATAAACTCTATTAATAAATTCTTTTGTCTCACCCCATTAATATCATATCAGTTAGAGTTGGAACAACTCTTATTAAGACACTGAATATCATAGGGGCACCTGGGTGGCTCAGTCAGTTAAGCATCTGACTCTTGGTTTCTGCTCAGGTCATGATCTCATGGTCGTGATCTCATGGTCAGGAGATCGAGCCCCACATCTGGCTCTGTACTGAGCTGAACATGGAGCCTGCTTAGGATTCTCTCTCCTCTCCCTCCGCCCCTCTCTGCTCACATGCTGGCTCACTTTCTCTCTCCCTCTCTCTCTCTCAAAAAAAAGTAAATAAATACAATAAAAAAAAAGTCATTGAATATCATAAAGGCAGTACAATGAAGAGCAACATGTAAGCACAATTCACATGGACATTTCTTCTGAAAATAGTGAAATAATTGTGTAAGATAAATAAATTTTCCCATTGTATAGGGAGAGGGCAACAAGTTCTTCTTTTACTAAAAATACAATTATTTCAACAGTAAGTCTGGGTGATTCGAAACATATTTCCTTGGAACACTTTCTGGGAACCATGTGGTTGATTTGGCGTGGGGAAGCCGACGCTAAAGCCAATGAACTGGGGCACTAAGCTGAAGTATTATTATTCAGTCACTGGAATTTAGGGTAATTACGTTTTTTTCATCTCAAGATTTTTTAAGAAAACAAATAAATTAATAAAACATTTAAAAACATACACACTTCCAAGGCATATAGAATAATGTCAAGTGATAGGGAGCTTAAATGTCAGAGAAAAACGACAACAACAAAGCAACAGTAGTAGAAATTCAGACAAACTGGAGTCTGTCTGATTTGACCAGACCACGGTCCCCAATTCCAGGAATCTTGCTCAAGAGCCACATTTTTTAAGGATGTGCTCTATACCATTTGATGGATAAAAACAAAACAAAACACAAAAGACAACAAGACAAAATAAAACAAAAACCCTGTGTTCTTCCAATGAAACGGCGCTATTTGAAACAAAAACTAGAAGTGTGCATAAATGTAGATATTTTTCTTAAGAAGGTGGACCTTTAGGGTCATTTTCTTAATGTTGTTCAATGTGATCTTCCTTTATGGGAATTAAGGACATACTGGCCATTCACTAGCTGTGTGTTATTATTGTCATTATGAATCCATTAGACATATTCAGGTGAGCTGAGTTACAGCCTTGTGACCAAATTCTCCTTCTCCTACTTTTAGCTTAGCATTTAATAGAATAAAAATTGTTCCTTATTTATTTTTGCCTACAGTAAAAATTCTAAGAAAATATAAAAGTCATCTCCTGTGCCCCTGGATATCAATAGAACTATTGGGTGTAGTGAGTTTTAAGGTGTTGAATTTTGTCATTTATTAAAGTAACCAGTAACACACAACTACATCTAATAAACTTAGTAGTAGTAACTGAATCTAAAATATTCTACCCCAAGTATAAAGTTGCATGCTGTGGGGTAGGGTGGGGCAAAGAGATCTAATGTTTAATAAGAGTATGCAGTTTCTATTATCTTCAGAAGCTTTATTTTCTTTCTTTAAAATGGTATAAAACATTTGCATATAAACAAATATATACATACTCTAGTTTGCAAAAGAGATAGGTAGCATGATTGCAGTAGATGTTATTTTAGTTTGAAAGTTAAACTTGGAATACTCTACCTTATGGAAGAACCCAAACTAAGAGATATGTCAAATAAGACTTTTATCTTAATAACCTTGGGAATATTAGCAACTTCAACTTAATTCTTAGGTCCAAATTACAAATAAATTTGCACACATGAAGATTTTTTTTGCAGTTTGATATGTTATTTAATTACTTATAATGATTTACACACATAGTAGATGAGCTAAAAATGTTGGTATGAAATATAGGTAATTTTGCATTAAAATTACACCAGCCTGTTTAAAAAACTGAATTTATCGGGCGCCTGGGTGGCTCAGTTGGTTAAGCGACTGCCTTCGGCTCAGGTCATGATCCTGGAGTTCAGGGATTGAGTCCCGCATCGGGCTCCCTGCTCGGCAGGGAGTCTGCTTCTCCCTCTGACCCTCCTCCTTCTCATGCTCTCTGTCTCTCATTCTCTCTCTCTCAAATAAATAAATAAAATCTTTAAAAATAAATAAATAAATAAATAAAATAAAAATAAAAAACTGAATTTATCATTAATTTTGCCAGTGCATCCAGTCTACCAATCTATCAATCTTCTAGCATCTCTCCACGAGATAAGAGAGGCTCAGTCAAAATATTTTCCTTAATATTTCTTTAACTTTTAAAAAGAACATATTGTTTGGAGTCTGTTGGTCACCAGATTTATCAACCTTTAGGAAAATAACCCCTTTCATGGCTCAATCAGAGCCTCATCTAAAATTCAGTAGAATCTAAGATTTCAAGCTGCCATCCCACTCCTGTTTCCACGGGAATAGACTTCAGATCAGGAAAAAAAAAATGGATGGGGTTAGGAGCTTTCAAATAATCATTCAAAATCATGATGAAGCTTTTAGAGCTTCTTTCTTAGGTGATTATTTTGTAGCCTCTTAACCCCTTTTTGCCAGTCTGTTTCCATGGAAATATGACAAAAATGGCTGTCCAAGCCTCCAGCAGAGATTATTAGCATTCTTGTGAATTTCAGCTTTGGCTGCAGTCTAGGCTGGTCAAGATCTTTTTTTTTTTTTTTTTAATCAGTTTTACATATTAGCATACACTGTTTATATTCATTGTTCTTTTCTTCATTATTTTTACTTAGAAAATTCCCTTCACAACTATATACCTATAATCAAGATCAAATTGATTGTGACGTCACTGAAAAAAGACTTTAGTTTTACATTTTACTACATGAGCCAGGACATGTAGCTGCAGAGAGTGTCAGAACTTTTAGACACCTACCGAAGGAAACACCATTTAGTTACTGGATTCAGTATCTGTCAGGTGTTGGTAGATAAGTAAGGGTGGTATTCAAAATATTTAGCAACTGGTAAGGTGCAGCACCAACTGATCAGAGCAGCTGGTTTGTACCAGTCAAGTATCAGCTTTATTATCTAATAACCAATACGTTGCTGAACTAAAAGCAGCCCGATATAAGAGAGTAAGCATTTTACACAAATAAATTATCCAACATCAATTTACAAAAGAGCTTACGAGAGAAACTGGGTAGAAATATATAGCAATCCATATTTAAAGTGCATATGCTTGCATCATCTTTCATATGAAGGTCATTTAAAAATCAAAATCATTCTTATTATTGAAGACATTATATTAAACGAGAAAGAATATATATATGGGTTTTGATAGAACTCCTGGCAAGATACCTTGTGTTGAATGTGAAAAAAATAACAGCATACTACATAGATATTTTATCTGTCCTACCTTCTGAAATTTGCTGAACAGCTCAATCTACAATTTTTGCTAGGTAAAATCTTAAAAGTTCTGATTGACCTTATAAAGAATTTTTATTCTTCAGAACTCTCTTATTTTTCTATAGTTGGAACTTACTACCCATAAGGTTTGTCTTCTGAATTTGAACTGGAAAAAAAGTAAATTTCAATTGGTAATTATCTGACTTAGGTAGGCTCCTAATTTAAATTTAACACTAACTTACTATAGAAACTAATCTTGATTGATGTTTTCTGGTAACATCAGATATTTTCTATTCTAACATAGAATACAATACAATTTCTATTCTAAAAGCAGTCTATTAATAATGGATAAAAATGAGATTGCCTGGTGTCTATCTATACTTACATCCATGAACTCCACATTGGCTTTGGGACCAGTTGTTTCATTAAGAATCTTAATAGCCACAGGAATCTTTACTGTTTCTCCTTCAGGTACCCAAATACCCTTTGGGGGAAAAAAATCACATTAAATCTATATAAAGATATACAAATTCATACCAGAAACAAAATTTGATTTAACCACTCAATCTATTAATTTATTAAAAAATAATTTAGATGTTCTATATTCTTTTATTCAATCAACAAACATTTATCTAATACCTGTTGTATGTTACAAGTTACATAGCAACTTTGTTGTCTGCTTTCATTATCTGAAGATGAATCATATATTTATTCTGCTGTTAAGGTGTTTATTATTATATTATAAAGCATTGCTATTATAAAAGTCAATTAGTATGTGTGAAAAAGGCTTTTAATGGTGACAAAAATGAAATAAGATACAATAATGTCAGATTTGGACGATATATCAGCTTCTTAAAGAGACTTGGGGAACACTGTTCAAATGTTTGATCTTCAGTTGTCTCATTTGTAATTTAGAAGATTGGGTTCAGTAATGTTGGAGGTTCTTTTCAGCTTTAATATTATCTAATTATTCTGCAACTAAAACAAATAAAAAGACATATTCTCATGTTCCTGAAGTTTGGATTGATTTAAGAATTAGTTTACTAAGGCGATTATTTAAGAATTAGTTTTCGAAGGCAAGTACTAGGGAGTACTAAGCACATATTAATTTGTTTTTATTATCAAATGTTGTGTATGTGTGTTTCAATGATTTTTATTATCTCTGAATATAAAATATCTATACTGGTCATTGCCAGTTCTCTTTTCCTACAAAAATATAATTATAATATCTGAACAATCTACACACTGGGAAAGTATAAAGTAGATAGAGCTTGAGTCAAGTACAACATTAAGGTAAATGACAGCATTCCTGAGTAAACAATTCAACCATTTGATTTAGGATAATAATTTTGATAAGACATAGGGGGATGCATCAATTATATAAGAATTTTTTTTAAGTATATTGTCCCAAATGAATACAGAAGCAAGAAAATCTCAAATTTTAATTTATTAGCCCTGACATCGAAAAAAGTCTTCTTAGTCCAGTTTTAACATTAAAATGAAAGGGGGAAAAAATTCTTATTCCTAAAGAGAATATCTCTAGTTTTTCTTAATATCAGTTGGTTGTAGTCATAAAGTAAAAAAAAAAAAAGTTTTTCACTTTGTACTACTATGCTAAAACATATATATTTGTGTTATTTAAAGTTACAATAATATAAGAGGAGACCTAAACACAAGAATTATTAAAAAGTCAGAAAAATACAGAAAAAAAAGGCCTTAACCATTAGGAGGTGAATTTAAGAGTTATGTTCTTCTTAAAGTGAATAGGGAAATCTATGTGTCAAATACAAAAAAAATAAGCCAAGTTCCTTGTGGTATAATTTTTTTTTTAATTATTAATGTAGAAATGGGGGGGAAGGGAAGCCCAAGATCCATAGGCTACATTTTCTTAGTGATGGTATCTAGGGTAGAGAAAGGCTTACCATTATTCAATAAAGCAACCACATGGGGGTTACTTTATAAAGATAGAGTATGAATGTTAAAATATTCCTAAAGTATACTTTTGGAATTGGGTATAAATTCAGTGTGAATTAATTTGTACTGCTTTTTAAATAAGTATAGTCATTATTTTCTAGGCCTGACCAGACAAAAATTCAACTACATTAATACCCATGGTATTGGTTCAAATCTTTCATGCTTAAACACAGCATATTTCCAACCAGGAGAAAAATCAACCAAATAATTAGCTAAGCTAATTTGCATTTTTGTGGTTAAGGATACTTCTTTATAGATTAAGACAATATGCCTTGGTAAGAACTAATATATTAATTAAAACTTAGGATCAACCATAACACACTGTAAGTATAAAATTCAAACATACTTACGGAACTTTCAATACACGTAATTTCAGTAAAGGTACAATGCTCTTGGACATAGGCAAACAGTTGTTCATAATAAAAACATTTATAAAGCTTTATAATTAAATGTCCAAATGGTATGCATGATTTAAAATAAAATTCACTTTCCAGACAATACCATCTTTAAAATAAAAGTCTGATTATATGCTAGGAACAATCCAAAATTGAGTTATCTTTGAAATGAAAGTCCATTATTTCTAGCATAATATAAATAGAAAAACAGGATAAGTTGTATTTCTTCAAACATACAAAGAATTTGAAGACCAGAAAGCACCAAGTCAGCCTAGAATAGTTTCTATTCAAATTAGGTGCTCAATTAATAATTTTGGGTTTAACTGAACAAAATATGCATACTAAGAGATTAAGAAATTTCTGTATTTTGGCCTTAGAATAAGATAATTTTATTTTAAAGAGATTAAATCATTTTTGGAACACTCAGGAGGGAAAATTAAGGTTTATATTCTAATTGTTAATATTTTTTTGTTAAATAAATATTTGTTTTAAGTAGGAAAAAAATGAACATTTTAAAGTGCAAAATTTCTAAGATCCAGTCTATTTTAACAGAAATGTTTGTAAAAACTGCAAGCTTGCATATAGCTTTAAGAAATATATAAAACTGTCAAAGTAAAATTTGGGGAACTGTCACAATGGATATTACAAGAAGGGTTTAGCACTAACCCAGCAGAGTTTCTTATAGTTGTTACTTACATTAAAAATAAATCTCACCACAATTAACCTTAGGCCTGGCCTTTGAATCAGTTTTATAATTAAGCTAAATAAGTAAACATGCAGATGACATTATCTGAACTTTGCCTTTCCAAAAATATCTCTCTTATTGGAAACCCATGATTTCACCCTTCGTTCTATCTAACCTGAATTTCACAAATAAAGTCACTTTTTTAGTTTGCATATAATGGTGAGGACATCAAAACTGAAAATTACTCTGCTAAATTATATTCGTTAACAGGTAGGCAAAAAAGTGGTTTAGGAACTAATCCTATCCTGTTAACAAATCAGCACATTTGTGTAGATCCTAAGGAGATAGGCAGTGCCATCCCGATGGGGAGACGTGGAAATAAAAGGGCATAAGAAAAGAAGAGCAAGGATTATGGCATATGGCTCAGGCCTGTCTGGGATTCCATGGAGCACTGTGTAGGGGGAAGGAAAATGGGCTAGCGCTGTGTATTTTAGATAAGGACAAAATTTGCCAACAGGGAGATGCTATCAAAAGCAGATCAGAAGGGCATGGAAAGTGAATACTGTGGCTTTTTGTGACAGTTTCCTGCTTTCCAATGCCAGTTTCCATCCCAGCTTGCTCAATAAAAATGAATGATTTAATTTGTGTAGCAACTTCTCAATACGATACAGGTTCTCCTCTCTGAATATTAAAAGGAAATTAGGTTAGCTAGAGCAATAACTCTGGCTATTATTTAAGACAAGTCTGAAACAAAAAACAACTGGTGGCGTGGGTTATTTTTTTACTTACCTTATAAACTGTTCCAAAAGCACCCGAGCCAAGTACTTTCACTCTTTTGAGCTCAGTTTCTTTCAAAATACGAAGTTGAGCTTGATTGGGTGCCGTACCACTGGGAGTTAAGGGTTCTACCAACTACAAAACAAAAAGAATTCAGGTTCTATAACTTTCAATTCCAGTCAGTGCCTCTCCCTCTTCCTCTGCCTGCTTCTCTTTCTCAGACATACAGAAAAACATACAAGCACACTTTCCTTGACAAACAATATTTTTGTTGTATGGATCACTCACTATTCCCTCAGAGTCTAGCCTCTCTCTTCTCATGCTTTTTGCCTGGGTGAACACAAGTATAAAAGTGTGTCTACCTTGAGGCATACTAAGCTAGGAGATTTGCCCTCACCACCACCCCCATCCCCGCCCCCCCAAGTTTAAAGAAATTTAGGCTAATAGGGGCTCTCAATCCTACTTTATGAAGCCCTTCCAGTTTTGGTATCTCCAGCTAAGACTCAGATCTCAATTAAGTCCATGTACTCTATCAAAATTTTCTTTCTCATTTTAGGAGACTCGATACATAGAAAAATAAAATCTAACTAGGAAGCCAGGACAAATGCGTCAGAAGAGAAGAAAGTAAGTTAACACACTACCAATACCCCAGGACAGTGCTTCTAAAACTTCATGTACATTTGAATTACCTGAGGTTCTTGTTAAAATGCAGATTCTAGTTCAATAAGTCTAAGGCTGGGGCTGAAATTTGCATTTTTGCAGAACTCGAGGTGATATCTATGTATGATGATGGTCCTTGAACACATTTTAAGTAGCAAGGCCCTAGAATACTTTACAGATCAAATATTCTAAAATTCTATGAAATGATTCTAGATCCCAAGTGAATGCTATGGCATGCAAAGGGATAAAATAGCCATCAGTGAGAACGTTTCACTAGTTTTGGCTTCCTGGAGGAGGCACACTTTAGAATTGGTCTTGAGAGGCACCTGGGTGGCTCAGTCTGTTGAACCTCCAACTCTTAGTTTCGGCTCAGGTCATGATCTCAGGGTCCTGAGATGGAGCCTGGCTCAGGGTCCTGAGATGGAGCCTGGCTCCGTGTGGTCAGTTTGGGATTCTCTCTCTCCCTCTCCTTCTCCCCTGCTTGTGCTCTCTCTCTCTAAAATACATACATACATACATACATACATACAATCTTTAAAAAAAATAAATAAAATTGGTCTTGAGATAATAAAAATGGATTGACATGGAGGAGGATATTACCATTGTGAAGAACAGTTTGGACACAGCATTAGGAAGGAGGAAGAAGACATAAAGCAGAATACAATAGAGGGTAGGACAGGTCTAAAGGATGAGGTTTGGGTGGGAAATATGAGATCATAAAGTGGGCTGGGTGTGGCCAAAAGGGATAAATTCAGGTAATTTTAGATGTTCAGTTTATTTGCCATTTAGCCAGAGAGGATGAATAAGCAGAGAAAAGGTATGTGAATGTGTACCAATTTCTTGCCTATGTGAGAAGAAAACAAAACAAAATGAAGGGTAAATATGAGAGAGACTCTGAGTACTAAAAGTCTATACCTTATGTTAAAATTTTAGGTTTTTATTTATGCTCGGGTAAAAAAGCAAGTAAGAGAAATAGAAGTTTCTTTTTTTAAAGTTAAATAAAGAACTAAACTTTAAACTCAGACAAAAAGCTTGTTCTCTCTCAGCATAAGGAAATAATTAAAGGCAACTCCTACTGAAATGGTCTTGAAAATCATCACAGTATTTCACAGTGTCTGTTTACAATGCTAAGTGCACTGTGACCCTGTGACTTGTTTATTATTACGCTTCTGTGAACATCATGGTCTACTTAAGTAGCTGAACAGAATCTTGATTATAAGTAAGTGTAGCGATAGTAAGCAAGAATTTGGAGAAGATGATAAAATTATCAATAAATTTGGGCTCTGTCTAAAAGTTTGACAACAAATATGCTTCTATTTCATTTTCAAATTTATATTTTTAAAAATGCATTTTAAGTCACATAAAATAAATCTCAGAAAGAATTACAAAATTCTCTGTAAAATGGGAAAAAGAATCTCCATCAGAGCATCTCCTTTATTTGAATCCAACTCTGCGGTGCAGAATTTGTTTAGTAGATTTTGATACACACACTATATGTATATAATCAGGAACTTTAATGAATTATTATTTTTTTAAAGGCAAAGCCTTCTTTTTTCCTAAAATTTCTTTTTCTTTTTTTTTTAAGATTTTATTTATTTATTTGACAGAGAGAGAGAGAGAGACAGCAAGAGAGGAAATACAAGCGGGGGGTGGGGTGGGAGTGGGAGAAGCAAGCTCCCCGCGGAGCAGGAAGCCCAATGTCGGGCTCGATCCCAGGACCCTGGGATCATGACCTGAGCCGAAGGCAGACACTTAACGACTGAGCCACCCAGGTGCCCCCTAATGAATTATTTTTTAAAATCACATAACAAATTATATATAAAAATCATACGCAAAATTGGAGACTAGATTTCAGCATTTGGGGCTATGTACTTTTAAAATATACGCTTTGGCATATAATATGCCATAATTCCATATTTTGAAAATCTCACAATTCTACCTGAAATGTTTAGTCTCCTGCAATTTTCTTAGATATCACTTCAAAATTTATACAAACACATTTTTCCAGGAATTTGAGAATGATATCTCTGAAAGAAGCATTGTTTCATTTTGCAAGCCAGTATGGCAGAAAGAGTGTCAAGTTTAAAATTGTAGGTTTGTACACTTGGACTGCCACTTATAGGCTGAGAAAGCAAATTACCCCTCCTACTCCCTTATTTCACACCTGTGAAATAGGTACAGCAGTAATTACCATAGAAGATTGTCAAGGGATGAAATGGGAGGTAGCATAGCTGGAAAACTTTGGAACATTGCCTGCCATATTGTAGGCACTGAATCTGTCACTCTTCAAGGGATATGATCACGTCCCATTAACATTTTCTAATCACAGGATCTATCAAAGCATCAAGCTTACAGTGCATCTCGTAAGAGTATGTTGGAAAAAAAAAAACATTTTCTACTTTTATGCATGCAACAGAAGACAGACAATCTGGAGCAATATGATTCTGGAAAAACATATTAACTCTAAGTACATTCCAACAATATATCATGCTTTAACAAGTTTTTCACATCTGAGACAAATTTCTAGCTTTAGTATTTAAGGATTTGAGTTGATCCTCTTAAGAATTCCTCTTCTGTTTAGATGATAGAAAATCACAGTTATTTACTTTTACTGAGAGAAAGATGGGAATTTTACAATTATCTAATTTAGTGGTAAGCAATAACTTTTTATAAAAAATAGAGTCTGCTTCTAAAACCAATCAATATGTGTTTATTTAGTAATGAAATGTCAATTTGAAGGACATTTCTAGAAAGCACTGTATTAAAAAAGAAAACAAACAAAGTGAATATTTTTATAGCAATGGGACTTTCCTGCATGTGGTTAAGGGATAGATTCCTTTCCTATTTGTTCAATCACCTAAATGTCCACTGCTGTTCCAAGCCTTCAGTTCCTCTCCAATTCTAATATACTTCACTTAGAATTTTCTCCACGACTGCCCCAAGCTGGCCATGAGGGAGAATTCTGCCTCCCGCATCCTTGCTAAACTGAAAATATGCACAGCACATGTGTTGTGTCTAAACTTGTATTCACATGTGCAAGGTTGAAAATGATCAAGTTGATCTTTTGTAAACATCCAGCTCAAGTAAAAATTACTACTATTTTTTCTTACATATATAACTGACTGCCTATCTTATGCTTGAACATCTCTATCGATAAGACAACCCATTCTAATTTTAGACAACTCCAATTCTTAGACATTCTTTCCTGCATGGAATTAAAATAGCTTCCCGAACATTTCACATGATTCTTCTATCTAGTTTCAACTTTTGGAGGAAGAGAGCTAAAATTTAATTCATTATCAGTTTGCAAAATTTATGAATGAATATTCTCATTCCTGTCTGTGTTAAGAGGAAAAGTCAAACTGTCACACTGACAATGAGCAAAAAAAAAAACAAACACAGATCTAGAGAAGGCTAAGTCTCAGTACGGAATTGCTTTGAGCTGTTCAAAGAGCCATGGATGTGTGTATCAGGAGAAAGAAGGTAAGGTGCAAGTTGAGAAGGATCTGGCAATGCATAGTTTTCTGTAATTGTTTTTCCTCTGTAACCTATACAGTAAAAACTATCACCTTGCATGTTAGATAACTCAGTGTGGCAATATAAGAGAAATTGTAATAATTTGTGGGTAATTTACATATTCACAATAACTAACATGCATAACATTAAATGCTTCCCATAAATTGTGTGGTAAGGTGTGTGTGATTACAATAGGAAGGTTTATCCTGTAAGCTCAGCTTTTCACTGTTGGTATAATGAGATCAGTGGCTACCAATTTAATGACCCTAATTAAAGCATAAATTGCTTGCCTATCTGGCTTTATTTTGAATCAGAAAAATTCTCTCTTTCTAACATTTTTCTAGTTCTGCTGTTGAGATATTCTCTCCCCAGATGTTTTCTAGTTCTGCTACTGTAATATCCTAGAACTCTAGTGGGATTCCTCCTCCAAAAGAAACAGGTATGTCTTTTCAAAAAGATCTGTCGTTCAATCAGATAATCTCCTTGACCTCTGCCATTTGTCCTCTTTAAAGCCATGAAACTGCCTTGACTACTTTTACTATATACTCTGATTTTTCATCAATTCTATAACATACTATGAACTGTAAACTCTCAGCAGGAAATTGAACAGAGTTCACTTGGATTAAAAAACCGAGTATCATCTAAACCTTCTAAACCTAATGAAAGTCCCTAAGCACATGGAGAACAAATAAACACCACACCTCTGTTTCCAGAAATCTTCTTAAGGCTCTTTTCTTTTTGATGCTCTTTCTTCTAACATAAACTGCAAATGTTAGACCCATGATGACCAGGATGAAGAGCCCGCCGATGACTCCCGCTGCAATTAGGGGAGTTCTGCCCACCAGAATGAAAAAGAAGAAGAAAAAAAAAAGTAAGAAGAGAGACAAGACAGAGGGAGAAATAGAGCAGTTGTGCAATAAATACATTATCCACATATCACAGGTCTAGTCAGTTAGAAGAAATACAAATAAAAAATGCATTAAAGCCATCACAAAATTTTGGGGGGAATAAAAACTATTCCCGCTTTTTGTTTTGCTTTGTTTTTTAAATAAACCATGCACATACAACTAATCTTTGGAGATGAGTGGCCACAGCATGCCATTCAACAACAACAACGACAACAACAACAAAATAATACTTGGTAACAGAATGAAGAACACCTGCCTAAATGTTGATATACAAGCATTTAAAATTATTTTCATTTTACTTTTTCTCTAAATAGATGGAAATATATTTTAATAACATTGTTGTGGTATCTAATATTATTTTCAACATTTTCTCTAAAGTAGGCTTTCTCAACAGTGGCACTATTGACATTTTGGGCTGGATATTTGTTTGCTGTGGGGGACTGCCTTAAGCATTTTGGGGTGTTTATCAACATCCTTAGCCTCCATCCACTAGATGCCAGTAGCACCCCATCCACTAGTCACGGCAGTTTCTCTAGATACCTTCAAATGTCTGCCAAAGTCACCCCCCAGCCCCACTCCCCCTGCCTTGAGAACTACTGCTTTAAAGCAAAAATGCATGGTCTGGAGATATATGAACCTCACACCTCTGGATCATTAGGGTACCAGTAAGAGAGATGTATTGATAAAAGTGCAGTTTCAAACGCTGGCTAGGCAACTCTGCTGGGATAAAGGGCGGGAAAAAGGTAAAGAATTGGGTCAGACAGGTTTTCAGAGCTATAACGACAGGAGGAATCATGCTTATCAAAAGTGTGCTGAAGCATCATATACCCATAAAAGAGGTCTACACATTAAGTACTACATTAAAAGGGGGTTAGAAGAGATTCACTAGAGATTTGTATTCTTAAAGTGTTTCTCTAATACATTGTTAGCTAAGATATAATTTTGAAACTAATCACTTATTGTTTTCAAAGATAAATTTTTTCCTTGCCTGAAAATAATATTTATAGTCTTAACTTCTTGTCGAGAGTAGAATAGTATCTATGAGCTTTCTGTGGTCAGAGCCCTGATGTATATTAATTTCATATGTCACAGCAAATAGCCCAGAGTAAAACACATGGGTGTTACCTAACACATATTTGACCATGAAGCCATCACAGATATGAAAACTAAAAAAGAACTTCCTGAATGTCCATGCTTTCCATAGTGAAGTATTTTATACCTTATATTCCTATTTGCAGAAGAATCTACCCTGTACAGCTACATTCTTTTAGAAAAAAAAAAAAAAAAAAAAAAAAAACTACTTGCTCTTGCAAAATAAACTATTGCTCAAAGACACATCAGAAATAATGATAGTGGATGATCCTTAATAAAATGTTTAAATTTTAAAGAGCTCTTGAAAAAAATCTGTGTCACTTCGATAAATGAAGCCATGTCTTTTAAAGATTATGACTGTTATATTGCCATATAAAACTACAGAAAAACCTTAAGAAGTATTTCCTCCTAAAGGTTGTTTCCTGACAGCCGAAAGTAGTATAGCATACTGGAATGTTGCTATAATTCAACAAGATTTCCCTAAATGGAACTTTATAAAGATATAAAAATCTATGCTGAGAAAATTAAACTGTAGTATGGACACAAACTCATCATTGTGATGTGTTTTGGCGTGTGTAAGATCATATTTTTGAGCATGGCAGTTAAATATGTATTTCAAAAAATATTTTAAGTTTTCTGTTCAAGGCATAATTTCCAGTTCAAGTGCCTAACATATCCCTGAAAAAGCCATTACTATACAAAGGGTTGTATTTTTTTTCTTCAACCTGATATTTTTATTGCAAAGGATTTATGTATTTCTGAGAATAGTGCCCAATATTTTATTAATTGTACATTTGAACTAAACTCTATACTTCCCCTGCTTATCTATTTTGCAAAAGCATAAGTAGCATGAATTTATGAAAATATATGTCAATGTCGCTGTAAATTAACAGAAAATGCTCTACTTTGTTTTTGTTTTCTATTTTAAGAAGAATGATTCCTAATAGAACAAAATAAGACTTCTGCCTCCATTCTTTCCATTTAATTTGGGTGGCGATCAATTGTCATGTCATTACTACTTAGTTAGGTTGCAGCAATGCACATAAAACACTCAAAAACTCAATAGACAGTAATTTCTAAGTTTTTCTAGTTAGCATTTACATTCAATACTTTCCCATAGCAGTTCCTTGGTTGATTTGCATTCTTTACCGTTTTTATTTTCTTACCCCTCTGCAGGAGTGGTAGAGGTACAAACAACCCGAGGAGGTAAAGAACTAGAGTTTCTACACCTAAAAATCGTACACAAATGTTTTGTTTTACATTTTAAGTGGCCAAATTCTTCATATTTCAGTAGAATTTATTCTTGAAAAATAAATCATAAACCATAAGTAAGCAACCAGTTGATTGAGAAAGGGGGAATATTCCATAAGACAACTTGTATGTTCCCTTTAATAAGTGAATATGAAAAATAAGGTACTGGCTTTGATTAAGAAGACTTACTAGTCATAACAACAAGATGTGAAATGCAATCCTGGACTGGACCTTAATTTGCACAACCATTTGTATAGACATTTTTTAGGTAATTTGGGTAGTTTGATTATGGATTAAGTAGTGGGTGAGATAAAAATGTACTGCCATGGAAAGATGCAGGCTAGAAATTTAAAAGATTGGGTTAGAAACAGTAGAATCTCAATGAGAGAAAATCCATACACGCACATGTATGTGCATAAGAAGATCTAGAATATACAGTAAGACACTAAACAGTACTTGTCTTTGTTTAGTATGACCATAGTGCTCTTATTTTTGTATTTTTACCATTTAATGGGCATTTTCTCATTTTATTTTATTTATTTATTTATTTATTTTAAAGATTTTATTTATTTATTTGAGACAGAGAGAATGAGAGAGAGAGAGAGAGAGCACATGAGAGGGGGGAGGGTCAGAGGGAGAAGCAGGCTCCTCGCCGAGCAGGGAGCCCGATGCGGGACTCGATCCAGGGACTCCAGGATCATGACCTGAGCCGAAGGCAGTCACTTAACCAACTGAGCCAGCCAGGCGCCCCATTTTATCATTTTATACCATGTATATATATTTCCTTTGAAATAAAAGTTTGTTAAATTTAAGAAAAACAGAAAAATAAATCATTGTCTATAAGTTTAGTTTATAATAATGGCCTTGTTTTCTTTTTTTCCTTGACTGTTTACTTTCATATTTTCAATTAATTCATTTTGCTATCCCCTATCCACTTTTACAATGTAAGTACTTTTGTAGATATTTTCTATTAATTACAGTTTAATGTGTCTGAGATATTTACCACTCACTATGTTGTGTACAATTAACACTTTGCTTCATAAAACCAACCTAATACGAAAAGTTAACACTACTTACACATTTCCTACTCTCCAAAATTTTGATGATCTCTAGATATTAGTAGGTGTAGGATAGAAGCCCATTTTTTCTTGAGAGTTAATGCTTCAACTCTTATGAGGACCATTTGGATAAAGAGGATATAGCTACTTAAGTTGCTTTTTAAAATTGTTGTATATCCTCACTAGGATATACAGCTGGCTATCGGGATATAGGATATTAGGATATAATGCTGGCTATTGACAACTAAGCTATATTGCTGAAAGAAAGTGTTTCTCTTTACATCTGAGTCAGAGTAACCTCTTAAAAGGCTGAGATATGACACTGTTAACAAGATCATAAGGGTCAAACGCCAAGGGACCTAGAATACTTTGTCATCCCTTATCTGTTACAGGAGTATTGTTTGTTGTCATTTGCCTATATATTAAAAAGGGATGGGATCCCTAAAATATAAAAGATAGGGCACTTCAAGCGCCAATTCCAAGCTTAGATTAGAAAGATGTAATCAACTGATAATTTACCTTATTCTGTGATTTGGAGATACTATAATGAAACATATTCTCCTACTATTCATAGAGACTAATATAATAAAGATTCTGAATCACAAATGAACTTGGCTCATTTATTTAAAAACATATAATTTAGTTTTCATAATTTCATTTAGAAGTTCAGAGACAACAGAATGTATTATATTCTATTGCCTTGAATGCAATGATCTGTCTAAACAGTTATCTGTAAAAGAGTAGTGTCTCCCAAAACTATATCACTCATATAATAAGATATATTCTTAACATTTATTGCTATATTTGAACCATGCTATTCCTCACTGGAGAATATAAAATGTGAGAGAATACATGAAACCTGATTTTATAAACATCCAAATATTTTCCTTCACTGATCTGTTTCTTTCCAGATCAGGTCAGAAAAAAAAATGTAGTAAAGTCAATATAATTTATGATTACAACTCAATGGCTCTAAAACTATCTAATATACCATTTTCCATTTAATGTCAAGGGCAGACTATCCTCTTAAAAATATACAGTGGTATTTTCTTTAAAATTGTAAACTTAGTAAAACTGGTATTTGTCTAATATAGTCATTGCAAAAGAATGCTAGATCTGTAAGATTCTTTTATAGGTATATCACCAAATAAAAGGACTTTAATTTTATAATATAGGTATATTTTTCTTTTTTTCTTGAATACAGAATAATTTTCAATACAGATAAGAGAAACAACCTTAAGTCCTATAAAACACCAATGGCATAATTTGCAACCGACCGTATGACTTTAGAAGAGTGAGATCCATTTTTGGAAACTTCTAAATTAAATTAAATATGTGGAGATGGGTCTCAGAATTCACAGGATCAGACTTAGAGTGGATTCACTGTTTATTTATGGGTACTAAAGGTTTAACAGAATTTTGAAAAATTTAAACAGGAAGTAAAACAAACAAAAACAACAGGCTAGTCAGATAATTTTACCAGGGCATTTTTGTATAATAAACTTGAAGTAAAATGGTGAAATAG